TTTTTTTTTTTTTTTTTTTTTTGCTTGCTGGTCCTGGGCTTGAATTCAGAGCCTGGGCATTGTCCCTGAACTCTTTTGCTCAAAGCACTCTACCAGCTGAACTACAGCTCTACTTCAGCATTTTGGTATAAATTAGAGGAAAGTCTCATAGAGTAGCTGAGATTACAGAAGTGAAACATCTGTGCCTGGCAACATTGGTAGGTTTTTTTACATATATTTTTTTTGCCAGCACTAGGGCTTGAACTCAGAGCCTGAACTACTTTGTTCAAAGCTAAGGCTCTATCAATCAGCTGGTCCTGGGGCTTGAGCTCTGGTCCTGGGCATTGTTCATGAGCTAATTTACTCAAGGTTTAACACTCTACCAGTTGAGCCAAGTCTCCCTTTCCAACTTTTTGGTGTAAATTGGAGATGAGTCTCCCGGACTTTCTTGCCTGAGCTGGCTTTGTTTGGCCTTAGCCTTCTGAGGCTCTACCAGTTGAGTCACAGTTTCACTTCTGGCTTTCTAGAAACCTTCCTCTTTGGATATAATAAGGTAGAGATTAAGGAAAAGATGCCCTAGAGGGGGTGAAAGAACAAAATGAAAAAGATAATGACATTCACAAAAACCCTATGACTCATAAGCAGCTTCTCTCTTGGCTTACGGACATCATAAAGGCAGAAATGTCCATGTCAGTGTTCCTTGAGCATGAGTATTTGTAGGGCTGTCATCAGTAGATAGTATTGTGGCTAAAGCATGTAATCCTAGCTATAGGGAACATGGAGGTGGAGGCCAGTCAGGGAAGTGGGCAGTGGCACTGTGAGGAGGTGTGCTCCTTGGTCCCAGCGTGGAGAGCACAGTGGCTGGGGCAGTGGTGAGGACCCAACACCAGAAGGGCTGACGGCGAGGCTCCCGGGCTGCCTGCCTGCCAAGGAGGAGAGCCCGCGTTCATTCCCCAGGACTGCACAGCATGTGTGGGCGCGTAATTTACCATCAGAATGAGGAGATACCCTCGGAATCTGCCTGGGTGGGTGGAGCTAGATAGACGGCTTGGAGACCACTTGTACCTCCTGATCCAGAAAGGAACCTGGTCACAGGTGTTTAAATTATACTTCTGATGTCTTTATTCGCAATAGGCTGTTCAGGCTAGCTTCAAACCAGGTGCCTCAGATCTAAGCCTGAATAGCTAGGATTATAGGCATGAGTCATTGGTGCCTGGCTCTAACATCTTTTTTCTTTCGTTTTTTGGTCATGAGCTTAAACTCAAGGCCTGAGCACTGTCCCTGAGCTCTTTTGATCAAGGCTAATGCTCTACCACTTTGAACCACAGCTCATTAGGTATTAGGGGAAATTTAATTAAATTCACCATGAATCTCATAAGGACTTTTCTGCCTGGGCCGGGTTGGAACTGTGATCCTCAAATCTCCGCCTCCTGAGTAACTAGGATTAAAGGCGTGAGCCACCTGAGCCCGGTTCTAACTTCATTACAAAGTGTTTAAACATGGGCACAGACAGGACGGTAGCTCTCCACGGAACCCCCACTTCACTTGCACGGTCTCTACTTGGCACATGTGGTGCTTTCCTCCCTCTCTCGATCCTTTACACTGTGACTCAAAGGCAAAGTCCCTTCAAACCTCTTGCTATCCATCTCTTAGATGATTTCCCCCATGTCGTAGGTCAAGGCTCTCACATTCCTTTGGTATTTATCACATGAACACTCTCAAATGGAACAAGTACTTGTAGTATTTAGTCAACACTGAGGATCTGCTTGAAATCTTTACTCCTCACAGTTGAATGAATTCTCCCCTTAGAACAAGTAATGTTGGTAAATTCCCCTTCTTGCCAGAAGTAATGTTATTGCACTCCTGTAATCACACAGGAAGACTCATGTGAGAGTACAGAAGCATAAAGCTGCACAGGGAAGCCCAGCACCCACGGCTCACACCTAGCTACTCAGGAGGTTGAGGTCTGAGGATGGCGATTAAAAAGCTAGTCTGAGCAGGAAAGTCCGTGAGACTCTTATCTCCAATGAACAACCAGAAAACTAGAAGTAGTGCTGTGGCTTAAGCTGAAGAGCTGAGGGACAGTGCCCAGGCCCAGAATTCAAATCCCACAACCAATAAGAAAAAATGAGACGCTATCTCCAATTAACCAGCCCAGATCTGGAAGTGGAGGTGTGGCTCAAGTGGATGAGCGCCAGCCTCAGGTGCAAGGCCTGAAGTTCAAGCCTGTATCATGGCGCTCACCTACACCGCACCTCACCGCCAGCACTGTAAGTTATAGAATGGAAACAAGGTTTTTGTTTGTTTTTGTTTTGGTCATGGGGCTTGAACTTTGGCCCAGGGCAGTGTTCCTGAGCTCTTTGTGCTCAAGACTAGCACTCTACCACTTTGACCCATAGCTCCACTTCCAGTTTTCTGATTGTTAAGTGGAAATAAGAGTCTCAGGGTGGCTTAGAACTATGATCCTCACATCTCAGCCTCCTGAGTAGCTAGGATTAGAGACATGAACCAGCATCTGACTTGAGTTTGTTTCCAGCACTCGGAATTACTTTTTTCCCTGTCAGAGTTAAAATGAGTATTGTTTCTAGCTAAATACAGTAAGTAATGTGCGCGCACGCACGCACACGCGCACACACACACGTTTTTTTCCTGTCATAGATTGCCATTAAACGTAAAAAATACATGAGAAGATTCTTGACCTCATTAGTTATTAGGGGAAATTTAATTAAATTCACAAGATACTACTTCGTACCCACTAGTATAATCAAAAACATAAGCGGTAAAGACTGTGGAGAAATCGGAGCCTCACCAGTGAGCCTGCCAGCAGGAATGTATAATGGCGTGGCTGTTTTCCAGTTTCTCAAAGTGTTAACTAGAGACTTGCCATATCACTCATCAGTTCTCCCCTTGGGGATATGCACAAGAGAAATGAAAACACGGGTCCACCCAAAAACTTGTGCACTAATATTTATCCCGATAGGGGAAATGACCCATCTGGCCACTGACCAATAAGGTAGTATATCCATAAAATGAAATAGTATTCAACCATAATAAGGAATATTGAACCTGGTGCTGGTGGCTCATGCCTGTAATCCTAGCTACCAAGGAAACGGATCTGAGGATCACAATTCAAAGCCTGCCTGGTTAGGAAAGTCTGAGCCTCTTCAATAAAATACCAGAAAAGCTGAAAGTAGTAGTCAAACACTAGCCATGAGCAAAAGCAGCTCAAAGACAGTATCTAGGCCCTGAGTTCTAATGCCAGGACCAGCACACATGCACACGCACACACACACACACATACACATGCACACACACACACATGCACACATGCACACACACGTACACACACATGCACACACACACACAGGAATATTGATAATATACTACAAAATACCTGAAATGTTAAATGAAAGTAAGTTACAAATAAACATTTATATGATTCTATTGGTTCCATTCTTGTGAGGTATGTAGAAAAGGGAATTATGAGGAACGTGTAGTTAGTAGTGAGTGATCTGGAGTTGGTAGGTTGAGAGGATGAGATGGGTAGTAATGAAAGGGTACAGACCCAGGTCCCAGGCTCTGTCCTCTGATGCTTTTGTTGAAGGCTTGTGCTCCACTACTTGAGCTGTAGCTCCGCTTTTGGCTTTTTGGAGATGAGTCTCATGGACTTCCCTGCCCAGGCTAGCTTCAAACTGCAGTGCTCAGATCTCAGCCACCTAATCTCAGCTAGGATAACAGGTCTGAACCACAGGTACCTGGCTGCAAAGCTTTATTTTTGAAGCTATTAAAATTCTTTAAAATGGACTAGAGAAGTATGCACAATGGTGTGAATATTCTAAAGCTCATTTTGTAAATGT